CATGTAATATCTATGTTTATTATTATCTCTTTGTTATCCCATGTACATCTGTGAGAACTGTAGATATGTGAGTCTATTGAGGTTGTGCACTATGCTGTCACCATAGCTCGTATGGGGTCCCACTAGGGGCTATGAATTTTGTCCCGAAGGACCTATGTATTGTATTTGTCCCGAAGGACCACTCCTTAAGAACCATATACATATTTCAATGGATCACATATGTGTCTCACAAGACCCTGTAAATGTTCCCTCAACTCTTGGCAAGCCAACTATACCTCTAGCTCTCTTTACACATAACATGGGCATTTTCACTTATATTATTTCACATATACATTTTCATATCACCTGTATATATAAGCTCATAGCTTCTTTCACATATACATGTAGACATATAGCTTCTTTTCATATAATTCATATCACTTTTCATATAATTCACATGTTCACATATAACACCTATGACTATATTCATGCATAAATAATAATCATATCACCCATATTAATATTCATAAAATCATGTAATCAAATGTTGGAAGTAGACGCATCGCGAGTCTTTTCCACACACATCATATACTAATGCATATGCACTCACCTGAGCCTCACTAAGTTCCAATCCACTTTTGTGATTTTTTCCTTTCTTTCGATCGAATCTTAACTTGATGATCGTTTTGAAACTTGTTCGTGTTCGATATCTACATAATCATACATTGATACATATCAATATCCAATTGATATATTCTAAACTATCACTCCAAAGGATAAAAAGAAAGCTATTTTCAACTTTTAATAGAAGCATGCATCGATGTACTACCCCATGTATCGATGCATCCCTAGACGGGTGCATCGATGCACTATCTATGCATCGGTGCATAAATCCCATTCGATGTTTGTATTTTAGGGGATGCATCGATGCACTCCTTATGCATCGATGCACCAATTGCATTCGATGTTTCCATTTTAATGGGTGCATCGATGCACTCCCTGTGCATCGATACACACTGAACAATTTCTAGAGATTTACCCTTGATGCATCGGTGCACCTTGAATGTGCATCGATGCACATAGCTTAGAATTCAATTTTAATCCCAAAAATCTACTCAAATCCACTCAAATGCTTCATCTTTCATCCCCTATCATGTTCTCAACTCACATACACATATTCAAACTCATTTATATTCATTAATCACCTCCTTAACATCAAAATCCTATTCTCCATATATAATTAAAGAATTACACTAAATTTTCAACATGTTCCATAATCAATTCTATTGTTTCTAACTTCTTAATTAAACCCTTGACAAGTCAAATTCATCCTTGGAACTTCAAAAACCTTTTTATAATAAAAGTTCATTTATAAACCCTTAATAGAAATTCCTTTCTAATTCTCTCTCTTTGGTGTTTTAAACTTATATAAGCTTTCCTTAAGCTTATATAACCCCCAAAGACTCAAATCCAACTTAAAACTTTCAAGAAATCAACAGCTAAATCAAACTTACCTTTGCTCTTGGCTTCCACGTGAAGAAGAAGAAGAAAGGAGAAGAGAACTCTGGAGAATTCTTTCCCTTTCCACGTGTATTTATCCTTACCAATCCCATTTTTAATTCATCTCTTGGTCAATTGACCCTTTTGCCCTTTATTTCCTTTAATAATTACTAAATAACCTTCATCATATATATCCAATAATCATTTAACTATTTCATTCTTCTACTTTAGTCACCAAATTCTGAAACTTTACAATTTGGTCACTAACCCGATATTGCGGATGTTACAAGAAGTATGAGCATGTTATAAATGAACCCCTGTTAGCATGGTTTAATTGTTAGTGTGGCACTGGGCTAGTTAGCTCAACTTTTGGAATTTGTTTCCTTACGCAAATTCTTAGGTGGATCACTTGAAGAACTTTTGCGTCGGTTAGATCCAAACCCAGATTTTCATAGCAGAGTACGTCTCTATTTCTTCTTAGAGGGCATGTATATTTGTAACCCTTATTTTTGTATAATCGATTCATAACTTGTTTTAAATTCAAGGTTGATACATTTGATTTTTTTTTTGTATCCTTGGGAGCTCCCAATTGTAAATTGTTTTGTATGAAATTTATTGTCTATTTTATCACAAGTAATTATTAATGAATGTTTTTCCATTGAATATGATAAAGAAAATTTTGGTTAGCCACTCCAGTGCTTCTGTGTGACGCTCTCATCAGGCGACTGTGTGTCGTACTAGTGTAGGGTGTTACAGATTGAATGAAGGATCTTTCATCCATAACTTTTGGTTAAAGGTAATAAACTTTTATTCCTTATGTTTCGTGTGTTATAAATAGACAAAGGTTAGCTAAAATAGATGTTTCTCGATAGTAAATGAGAAATTTAGCAACGTTTCAAGCTCTCCAAAAGCAAAAATTTGGGTTCGAATAATGATAGTATTAGAACAGTATCAATACCATAGACATTTCTAGAGAATCTAGGTGAAAATATCATGGTGGCATCGATACTAAAGTACTGAGTATTGATATTAATGGGTGAGTATCAATACCAAAGTTTCATGTATTGATACTCTATAAAGAGTTGGGAATCTAAGAAATTCCAGAATGCCATGATGATATTGGTACCCATCTAAGTATCGATACCCGTTAAGTGTAGTATTGATACCCTCATATTAGTACTAATATTATTGAACTAAAGGTTTTAAAAAATGCTGAAAGTAAATTGATAGCGAGTAAAAGGAAGATTAGCACTGATAAGGTATCATAATGAACAAAATATAAAAAGGATTTTAAAGGTGGTTTTAATCTCTATATTATATATATACATATTATCGTATGAACAATTATTTCGGGTAACTTGCACGGGAGTCTCGAAAGATTAGAGTGACTCTCATGGAAGCACCTAATCATAATCATTCTGGGTGACTCGCACGAGAGTCCCAAAGGATTAGAGTGACACGCATAGGAGCACCTAATCATAATCATTATGGGTGACTCGCACGGGAGCCCAAAAGAATTAGAGTGACTCACACAAGAACACTCAATCATAATAATTTTTGGGTGACTCGCAAGGGATCTCCGATGAGAAATTTGAGTACTTTCTATGGATCTCTTACTATTTTGTGTTTGTATGAAAATTGCAAAAAGATATTTCATAAGTTTCCAATGACTACATAATTTCTACGTTACTTATTTATAATATATGAAATCCAGGAATAATTGTTTATTACTAGGCTCTGGTAGTTCATTCTTTAAATGTTTCCTCTCAGGTAAATAGGAGTAGACACTCAATTTAGGTGCACTATCTCCGTGGAATCCCAGAACTGCTTGCCAGAGTATAGTTCTAATTTCTTTTGTTGGGCTTTGCATCTATGTATGTTTGCAAAGTTAATCTGGGTATTTTGTGGTTATGTAATGTATTGGGATAGACACCATAACTCTTTGGATTTTTTTTTGTGTAAATTATCATAGTAATGGGAGCTCCATATTTTGAAATTTAAAATTTTAAAGTCAGTACACAGTTAATACCCCTTTTTTCTGATGTATTGTGTCAAATTTCTATACGAGGTTATATTGTGTATTCATGCTTATATCATGGGAGATACTAATAATATTACATCCCGTACTCAAAATGGGTGGGGTGTTACAACATATGTCACCATTTGATTAGTTAGAAAATTTATTTAATTAAATAAAATAAAATTAATAAAAAAATATCAAATGAGGTGGTGACAAATGTCACTAGCGACACGTGTCATGATCATATGCTGACACATGTTAGATCTTGATTGGATAATTAATTTATTAAATTAAATTTAAATTAGGATCAAATTGATAGAATATATAGATATTAAAGACTAAATATATAATTATGCTAATTTTTTAACTGTCACATCAATATTTCCGTCGATTGTTAACTGTTATAGCTTGATTGACAACAATTAACTAGTTAGGTAGCAAGAACCAACTTACATCAGTGGTTAAAAGAATCGTTGTTGTTCTTAGAAGTTACGGGTTCAAGCATCATTGATGGAAAGGGTGTTTGGACGTTTATTGTCAAATAATTGAGAATACCTAGAACAAATACTACTTTGTAATCACCTTAGGTTAATAAAAAAATAGTTAGGTAGTCTGATTCAAAAAATTGAAAGATCGGTGATAAAAGTAAAATGGTTAAAGAGTTAAGTAGTCAATGGTAAAATTTACCCTATTATTTTATGGAATTTTGGACCTACGCGTCCAATTGATAGTTCCCAACTGTTTTCATCATGGTTCCATATGTCACCATCGATTGAGCTGCTAATATAAACATCACCCTCTTAATGATTCTAACTTCTAACATGCTAGCATTATGGTAAGATTTATGAAAGTTTTTTTGGGGGACAGTTAGAGACGTTGGACATAAACGAGAATGAAGTTTCCTTCTTTTTTTAAAAAAAGAAAGAAAGAAAGAAAGAAACTTGTTCTGAAACCCAGCTCAAGCAGGATTCTAAAGGCCCGTAATCTCTTTCTTGGATCAGTAGGCTCAATATCTCTTGACTTTAGTGAAAATTTTATGTTGCAGCATATAATCGTGTTTATCGATGGATTTTTTTTAATAATTTAGTGTGATTGTAAGGTAAAATTTGTTTAAAATATTTTTTAGATATTGATAACGTGTACATGTTCTGTAGAGATAAAAACACTTTCTTTTATCACGTAACACTTTCTTTTATCACGTAAGTGAGTTCATTTATGATTTTTAAGTTAAAAATAACATAGTTCGATTTTTTTTTATAAAAAAAGCAGGTATAACTTGTAAAAGAAAAAAAGATATCAAAACTTAGATTAAAGAGAATGAAAGATCACAAGGACGACCACTTTGTATTTACTTTCTATTTATATCAAGGTAAACACCAACATGTAGTACTTCATGCAATAGTAAATATTAATCTCTTGACTGATCTTTGTACCCATGCATGGAAATTTGAAAGCACCCAATTTTTTTTAGTGCATGTCGATACATATAACTTAAGTTGGGTTAATCTAAAAGTGCATTAAGAATGAGTTTGAAGTCCTCCAAGGTAACAGCTCCATCACCATCTGCATCCATGGAAGCCACCACACACTGGCAATCCTCAAGGGAATGTTGAGGCATTCCAAGGTTACCCATAACTTGATACAGCTCCGTGGCTGTTAAAGCGTCGTCCCCTTGGACCTCAATAGCCTGGGAAGCTGTCTTGAGAGAATTGGCGAGCTCCCCGAGCACCATGTCCTTGGTGTTCATCTCAAGGAACTCTTCCATGCTCAGCAACCCGTCCTTGTCACCGTCTCCTTCCCGCATCATCGCCCTCACGTCTTGCTCGCTAGCGTTGTAGCCGAGCGAGCTCAGGATTCCGCCCAGCTCTGCGGCATTTATAGCACCGTCGTTGTCTGAATCGAATGCTCTGAAAGCCTCCACTAGGCTCAGGACATTGCTCAGCGTCTCGGTTTCTGCTGACAGAGACGATCCCAGTTGAGCCATGGTGCTATATATTCAACTTAACTTTGCCTAACCTCCTTGCTCGCCTCTTCCTATAAATAACCGGTGGAGAGCAAAGGATAAGTGATCACTTATTCTTTTTTGGGGGAAGGTGGCACCTTTGTGTCTACATAAAGTTGAAGTGAAATCGATGACAGATTCTTCTGCTTGTAGATAATTATCCTAATGCTGCAAATTTTGTGGTCTGGTTGCATGTCATCCACACTAATATATATGTATTTGGGGTCAAGATTCTTGATAGTAATATATACATGTATCCAGACTCTAGACACTTGTTACTTTCTAGGGTTCTTGATAAGATCGGTGCCAATATTCATTACGTTCAACTTGGCAAAGATTCCTGATAGTAATGTCATCACTAGATATTGTATGCGCTGGGCTTAAATGTTGAGATCCATATATCTAGCTGTCCCATAACTTAATTTTTTTATTAATATATGATAATTATAAGGTAGTATTGGAAAAAAAAATTAGTCAATTGATAATAAATTCACACATCCTATAAATATAGTTCTTCGAATTCATGATCTTTAGATAGAACAATACTTCATTTATCACTGAAGTTGTTTAATTACCATCCTCACCATGGTCCCAAAAACACTGTAATTTCTGTCTTCAAACTTAAACCAATCTCAATTACAAATCTAAGAACTACCCACATGTAATACACGACAGAAATCAGAAACTGAAAAAAATTACAAACTTAATAACAAAACAGTAAACTCAGCAGAACAAAATTTAATTAATTAAAAACTTCAATTAAGGACTTGCATCTGTCAAAGCTTCCATCACCACCAATCTCCAGGCTTACATAGCCACCAAAACTCATCCACAGCCTAACCATAACACAAACCAAATAAAACTGTCGTTAATTGTTTTAATAGCTAATAGTTGAATTTCCATGCATGAAGGTTATAATATTTTCATGCCGTCTCCCTTTATTTTATTACTCGACTGTCACTTGTAATCCTGTCTTTTTTAAATGCCAGTCCCAAAGAGCACAAAAGATTTGGACCCTAAAGGAGAAAAAATAAATGCATGCAACTCCACCCCAAAAGTAACGTACAACATGATAACTAGCTATCCATTGCAGTATTAGACAAAATGATTACAAATAAATTAGTTCCAACATTAAGGTTTGACATAGGTAAGTCTGTAATTGAGGTTTTTGATTAATTATATTCTGTTTTGTTGGGTTTACAGTATTGTTATTAAATTAGTATTTTTTTTAAATTTTATTTTCGTTTTTATTCCTATAACGAGGTATATATTTTAGTATTTAAATATAATTTTAAAATTAACTTAATACTTTACTTTTTTTTATTTATTAGGTATATAAATTTAACTTTTATAATTTGAATGTTTACATAAACTTAACTTTAAAAAAAAGTTAAATTAAAAAAAGTTAAGTTCATAAAATAAAAATTAAACTTTTTAGTTTGAAGTTTTAATTATCAAAACTAATAGACTATAAAATATCAATATTGTACAAGTTCAATTATCAAATTTAATATTATAAAAATATTCAAATTATTATTTAATTATTTAATATTAAAATATTTTACATTTATATATTTAAATTATTTTTATATAAAATAAAAATAAGTATTAAATAAAAAAATAAACACGTGCAAGTACATGTGATAGAAAGAAAAAAGTTAAAAATTGAATCATAAATTAGTTCACATATCACGACGATAATGCAATTAAAATCCATCAATTATAAAACAACACATATCTCGTAAACTTCAATAATAAGACAAATTTATAAAATTAATTAATTCATATTCAATAGACTAAATAAATAAATTTCTAGATGAAATGTCATCTTAATTTAACACTTAATATATCAATTAAAGAATAAGACACTACCTTGGTATGCCTCTTCACATTGGAAAGAATAAGACAAATACATTTGAATATTTGAAAGAAAAGGTTTCAAAGAGAATTGACGCGTAGACGAAACATCTACTTTCATTTGGAGGTCGTGAGGTATTTCTTAAAACTGTAGCCCAAGCTCTTCCATAGTATATTATGTCTTGCTATCGGCTTCCTGATTGTTTAGTTCAGGATTTGGTGAGTAATATGAGGCGCTACTGGTGGTCAGGTGATGCTAATAGGCGTGGTTGGCCAATAGTTGCTTGGAAAACAATGTGCAAACCCAAAAGAGAAGGTGGGATGGGATTTCGGGACTTGCATAGTTTCAATTTGGCTTTATTATGCAAACAGTTATGGCGCTTTATTAAAGATCCAGAGAGTTTGGTGGCTCGAGTATTTTGTGCTAAATATTTTCCCCACGGTGATATGCTTCATGCTACTCTAAAGGATAGAAGTTCTTATGCTTGGAAAGGTTTATACCATACATTGCAAGAGATACGTGTAGGGATGGCAACGGGCCGGTTTCGGGCCGGGTATTGGTCCCCCCGTCCCCGTCCCCGTTTAAAAAACCGGTACCCGTCCCCGTTTAAAAAACAGCGGGGATTTAAACGGGGATCCCCATCGGGTAATCGGGGAAAACCGCGGGGAAACGGGTATCCCCGTTTAGCATAAACGGTTATTTAAACGGGTATTGGGCCGGGTATTGGGTCGGGTATTGGGCTGAGAATCGGGCCGAGTATATATATATATATTTAAATTAAATATATAAATATATATTTTTTTATTTAAATTAAATTTATTAATATTATATATATATATATAAATAATTATTTTTAATATTTATCGGGTCGGGTATCGGGCGGGTAATCGGGGCGAGTAATCGGGTAATCGGGGCGGGGATTACCAAACCCGTCCCCGTTTAAAATAAATGGATTTTCCCCGTCCCCGTCCCCATTTATCATCCCCGAACCTGACCCGTTTAATTCGGTTTTCGGTTTTCCCCGTCGGGTTCGGGTTTTTTTGCCATCCCTAGATGCGCGGGGGTCTTTCTTGGCGTATTGGTATACGAAGAAATAAACAGGTTCACCATGATATCTGGGGTGGTTCAAAAGCTGTTGCTCTCATAGGGAGTTATTCTGACTCTGATCTTAATCCTCTTTATTGTTCTGATCTTATATATGATTGATGGTTCTAATGTTTGGAATGAATCTTTGATTTATAGGTTGATTTTTAAGGAATATGCTATGCAGATTATTTCTGTTCCTATTGCACCTTGTGCTGAAGATGTTATTGTTTGGGTTAACCATGATTCGGGTATCTACTCAGTTAGATCTAGTTATTGCACCTGTGGGTAGTCGGCTTAAAAGTGTTGGTTTTGGTGATGGAATTTGTCCTATGTGTTCTAATGGGGAGGAGACTATTATACATGTCATTAGGGGTTGTCCTGTAACTTTGGAGGCTTTACGTCTAGCAGATATGCCTCATTCTGTATTTTTTAGTACTATGGATAGTCCTTTATTATAGATGGAGGAAGTATTCTTCATTCTAGGAATTGATGTTTTTGCTGGTTTTTTGGTAATTCTGTGGAATGTCTGGAATAATCGAAACTCCTTTGTTCATTCTGACAGGTTGCAACCAGCGTGGCTCTTGGTGAATAATGCAAAGATACTACATCAGGAATATTTAAGGGCTATTAGTGTGGGAATGAATACACAACGGTCTGTAAATTCTGCTATACGATGGACTCCACCTTTGGAGGGGGTTATCAAAGTGAATGTTGATGGTGCCTTTGTTGCGGAGCACCGACTGTCTGCAATTAGAGTTGTTGCTCTTGATAAGTGTGGACAGGTTTGTGGTGGTTTGGCCTAGTCTTTTATTGGATGTTTTGAGGCGGGTTTTGCAAAACTATATGCTTTACTCGCTGGTCTTAGAATGGCTTGTGATATGAGATGGTCTGATGTTCAGTTTGAAACTGATTCCTTGATGCTCGTCCATAAGATTACACAAACTTCTACAAATATTTCTATCCTCGGGGTGTATGTTCAAGAGGCTCGTACTATTTTTATGGCTCATCCTCGTTTTTGTATTTTGTATACTCCTAGAGAATGTAATCAGGTTGCTCATGCATTAGCAAGCTGGGCTTTAAATTCAAGTGGTTCTTTGTTTTTTGAGTCGGTTTGTCCTGACATCATTGCTCAGAATGTTAAAAACGATGTCATTGATATTTGATTAATATATTTTGGACACTCTTTTCCCCTTACTAGATTTAGAAGGGGTTTTTAATGAGGCCTACGAGTTTTCATTCAAAAAATAATAATATCTCAATCAAATAAACATCTACATTAAGGAGACATTTTAACTAAATTAAAAATCCTATAATCAAATTTCGCACCTATTTGATTCTGAAATTTTAAATAAGAATTTATATGATGCAAAATTTTACTCAAAACTAACTTCATTATCTCTCTACTCAACATAAACCAATTTGTTATATAAGCTCAACAATAAATATATTCAATACATGAACAAACTAGAATTAATTATTTTTCATCAATAATGAGATACATATATACAAAGATGTATAATTGTTACTGTAAATTCTCCTATAGCTAATGCTTCACCCATAAACCCAAAAAAAATACAAAAACTTTTTTTTAAAAAAGAAGGGCTAAATCAATCCCAGGCCTTACAAAATTATGACACAACAATTTAACAGCAAGCGCAGTTCTGCTCTCTACATCATGGAGATTTAGATCTATGTCAATGCCATTAGGCCTTAGTCAATGCTTCAGAATTGTTTTTAGCTTACCAGATTTCAGACTCTTTGAGTCTCTAGGGGAAAAACTAAAGGTAGCAATATTGGAGCTTAACTTAAGGAGGCAAATTTGTCTTCTACCTCGTGATGGACCGAGCTGGCTTCATGCAAAACCAAAAACATCCATGTAAAACCTAAAACCAACCGAACTCCGTCAATGCGTAACTTTCTGCACACAAATACGATAATAAAGTTCTCAATGAAGCTAAACAGATAACAAAAATGTACCCATTGTTAAAAGGATATTTTTCATGCATCTTAGGATATGATATATAGCTAATATGTTGTGATAAATGCAGAGATATAAACATA